CCCACCCCTCAGTTAGGCCGCCCCTTTGCCCCCCATCATCCCTTCTACCTCGCCGGCCCTCCTGGGAGCCATGCGAAGGGGTTTCAGGGCAGGACAGTGTGTTCGTCCCCCTGAACGGGCGTGGCGTTGGGAGATTCCCAGGCTCGCACCCCGCCCGGTTCAGCCCCTCGAATCTCTTGCTTTCGGCCATTTGTGGCTCTGTGTGCGGTGAGCCGGAGGCCGGCGGCGCGGGGTCTGGCGGTGTCATACTCCGCGGGCCGCCTCCGCCCTGCGGCGGCAGTGCGCCTGCAGGCGAGGGGTCGCCTTGCTGCGGCTCCCGTTTCTCTCTCCGCGCTCTGTTCTTCCCTGACTCCCCTCCCGCCTTTCTGGCCGGCGGGCGGGGGCGGGAATCAAGTAGGTTCCGCATCTGAGTTTCCGTCCTCTGTCGGCTTCTTAGCTCTGCGTGTGAAAATCACTTCGCGAGCAGATGTGCACCCTCGAGGACCACAATGCGGGGAGCCCTTGTCCGGCAGGTCCGCCTGGGGCCCGACGCCTCGCAATGTGATTCCTTTCCCTGGCACCGTCCTTGGGCAATTGTCACGCCCTCTGCTTGTGCATATGCCCCACATCTCACTTTACGACGCCGTTATTTTTATTCTAAACAGCTTTGGTTTACCTGAAAATGTCTTTATTTCAACTGCATTTTTCGAGATATTTTTGCTGCACATGGAATTTCTAGGTTGACAGGTTTTTTTTTTTCGTTTTTTTGTTTTGTTTTGTTTTGTTTTGTTTTGTTTTGTTTTGTTTTAAAGCAAGTCAGAGATGTCGTTTCTGCGGCCTACCGTGAGCGGTGGCACTGTCCGTGTCCTTCCCAGGTTTTCCTTTTTTACCTTTGGTTTAATGAGATTGACTGCCGTGCGCTTCGATATCATTCTTTTTTTGCTTACGCTGCTTAGGATTCAGGAAGCGATAGGACCTGTATGCTGATGATTCTGATCCAATTTTTGGAAATTTGGAAGCAGCAGCTTTTCACATATTTTTCAGCCCTGTTCTCATTTTCTTCTCCTGGGGCTTCAATCGCCTGTAAGATCACCTGTCTTACCCAGCGGGGGTTTGAGGATCTGTTTATTTTCCTATGGCTTTTTGTTCTTTCTTCGGGTCGAATCCTTTCTATTAATCTGCCTTCAAGTTGAATGGCTCTTTTTTTCTATCATCTGCAATCTGCAGATTTTTAAATTTTGTTATATCGTGTTTCTAAAGTTTACAATTTCCATTTGATTCTTTTTATAGTATCCATTTTCGTGCTGAAATGTCCTATCTGTTCGCTTATCGCGATGATTTTTCCTTTGATTATTCGAACATATTTATAACAGCTGCTTTAAAGTCTTGCTTGGTAAATACAGACTATGTTTAATTGGCTGTTTTCTTGACTCTGAGTAACATTTTCCAATTTCTTTTCATTTCTAGAAAATTTTCGGTGTATACTGGATATTGTGGACACGAGAGTCTGGAGTTCATGGTCTTCCTCTGAAGAGTGTTGATTTTTGTTCTGGTAGGCAGTTTAACTACTGACTAATCACTTTGAACTTGTCTAGGTTTTGTTCTGTGTGTTATTAGGCTTATCCGTGTATCCATGCCCATGTGCGTCACAGTGTGTGTCCCCGTGTGTGTCCTTGTGTTTCACGCGTGTGCCTGAGCACAGGCATTCATATCTGCCTGTGCATGCACACGCAGTGGTGCAAGGGGAATGGTGACCTGTGCCCAGTGATCTGAACAGGTTGTCTCTTCCCACCAGGGTCCCCTTGTGTTTTCTCTCTGCTTGCCTCTCGCCTCCTCCAGGAAGTCCCCCTGTGCTGCCTGCAGCCTGATGCTGCTCTGTGTGGTTCATGGACTTAATCTCCACTTACGGGTTCATGGCCCCTGTGTTTGCCTAGGAGGGTGTCAACAGTGTCAACAGTGCCTTTTGGACAACAGTCCTGTGGCAGTGACAAAGCCACTTTCACCCTCTTGGACACAGGGCAGGAGTAGAGCTATGCACCAACACCCCTCCTACCCACTACACCTCAAGCTCCTTGAGCTGCACAGGTCACAGCCAGTGTTCTCTGTAGCCACAGGGTGGCTGTCCCCCTTGATTTCGGGCACATATCATTCATTCATTCATTCGCTCACTCACCTGCATACCTGTGTTGGAAGCATTCTCTTTGCCAGGTGCTGGGGAAGGCAGTGCCCCTGCCTTCCTGGGCTCAGGCAGAGAGCGCACGAGGGACAGGCAGGAGGGCGCGAGAGCTACCCCGGGGCTCAGGAGCTCAGCGCGGTGACCCTCAGAGTAGCTGACACCGCACCCGGGCCCAGAAGCCATGAAGGTGGAGGAGCAAGTGGCCTGCGGGGGGAGAGCTCGACTTGGAGGCCTGAGTGTGACATGAAGTGACGTAATGCTTCGGCTTTGCAGGGAGGGCCGTTGGGGGGAAGGCGGCCCTGCCCTTGGGAGACTGTCCACCCTGGGCAGTGGGGTGGGGCATGGCCTGTGGGCTGGGTGCTCCCGTCTGGTTCTGTTAGGCACCCTGTCCCCCTGCAGCCCCCCAGGCCCTTCCCCAGCTCAGCCTGGAGCATGGCCTTTCAAGCTGCACCCAAGGGTGGCCCTTCGGGAGGGCCCCTCCCACCAGAGCCTGTTTGTCCCTGGACTTTGACCGATTCAGCCTCAGTCCTAATCCACTCTGCTCAAGTGTCCACTCTGGGTCCGGTTTCAAGAAGGTTTGCTCGGAGGCCTCTCCCCTCGCCCTGAGAAAGAGAAAAGAAAGCAAAGCCCTTCCTCCTTGGGGGCCCCAAGGAGGGAATCTGAGCCTGAAGACTCTTTGTCCAGGCCCAGCCCTGCCCTTCCATGTGCAGACCGTGGGGAGCCAAGGCCACCCCCCATCCTTTGTCACCCCCATGTGTTCTTTCTCCCTCACACACACATATAGGTGTGTGGCAGGGCTAAGTGGTCAATCCCCACCCCAAAAGCCCCCAAGGTCTCCCAGGCCCCTGACAGGCTTCAGTGGCCGGAAGTACGTGTGCCCACGCGCGCACGCCTGTGTGTTTGGGCAAGCGTGTGCCCGCAGACCCTCCCCGGGGCAGTGCCCCAGGCCAAGTGGGCCGACCAGCTGAGAAGGTCGCAGACCAGCAAGGCCGGGCCTGGGAGTGACCACCACGACTGGCCCGGGGGCGGAGTCTGGCGAGGACCCCCGAGCGCCATCCGCAGGGGCCCCGGGAGGAAGGGCGCGGCTCCTCTCTCTCTCTCTCTCTCTCGGTCTTCCGCAAACCAGAGCAAAGGCCGCGTGCTAGCTGGTGGGCGGCGAGGGTTTGTGTTTCACTGGTTTGTTTTAAGAAGAGAAAACAGCAACTTATCGTGGGTGCAGAAGGGAAGGGCCCTGGGGAGGGACGGGTTACTCGCGTCACTCAGGGAGTGGGAGCAGAAAGCAGGCTGCAGCCGGGCGTGGGGCGGTGTTGGGAGCCAAGTGTGCGAGGGAGCGGGGCGCAGAAGGGAGAAAGGACATCTGGAGGCGGGCACGGCCCAGGGAGCTGGGGGAGGCCCTGCGTGCAGCCGCCAAGCCCCGACGGCGCAGCTCCGACACACGGGGCCTCGCCAGCCTGGGCCCCTGAGCGGCCGAGGGCGGAAGGGTTTCCGCTCTGCGATGTCATCGCAGCTCGGGCTGCAGACAGCTCGGCAAACGGCAGCCTGGGGGAGCGGTCCCCACGGAGCCACCCTCACTCCATTCACCAGCCACCAGTTGGGGGGACCCCGGGGCCACCCCCGGTTCCATAATTCCCTAGCACGACCCGCAGAACTCAGGAGATGTCCCCACAAGGTCAGAGGCCTGAAGCGAGGCTGCAGCAGCCATGTTCTTTTCAGGCCTGGAAAGGTGACGTGATGATTGACATCCGGGAGATGTCCCCTCCTGTCCCGCGATCAGTTCCATCTCCAGTGATGGCACGGATCGCCATGGCGCCAGCAGATAGGACATGGCGTCAGTCCAGCTCTGACAGAGATGCCCAGGCCCCGTCTAATGGGGAGAAAATACCGGGCAAAGCCAAACGGAGGGACTTTGTACATGGTAAGTGGCTCGTGATGTTCAAAGTGCCAGGGCCGCGAAGGTCACTGCGAGGCCGAGGAATGTTCTGGAGCGAGGAGGCTAGAGTGACGGGACAGCAGAGACAGCCTGCGACCTTGGACTGACCCCTTGGGCGTCCCAGCTGCGCGACGGGCGCGGCGGCCTGTGCTCGAAGCCCCGGCCCTCACTGCGCCAGACACGGGCCAGGGGCTCTCAGAGGTGACGGGTGTGTTTAAGACCTTGATGGCAAGTGATGAAACTTGAATGGGGCTAAAGGTCACGTGCGAGGGGCGCGTGGCGCTGACCCCGTGGCTCTGCTGACGGTGCTGGTGTCGTGTGAGACCCCACAGCTTTCTGTTTTCTTTCTTGTCTTATTTTTATTTTTCGTGATGCGCCCGTGAAATGGAGACATTTCTGCTGTCTTGTTATCTACCCTAACAGTCGTTGGGGACACAGCGTTGCCCTGGGCCCCGCCGAAGGTTACTTGGCCACGTTTTCCACATCTGAAGGGCTCGAGGAGGAAGTCATGCAGGGAGCCGGCTCCTCTGGGGCTGCAGCTCCGGCTCCATTTTAAAACGGCTCCGTTTTCTGCATTTCTAATATTATACGTTGAAATAAACGTGAGCTCTACACACATTTAAGAAAGACGAATAAAGACAAGTGAGATCCTCATCTTCCAACCCGCTTATGCCGGTTCAGGGGCGCGGGGGGCCGGAGCCTCTCCAGGCAGCTCAGGGCACCGGGAGGGACCCAGCCTGGACAGAATGTCCTTCCATCACGGGACACTCGCACCGGCCACACTCCCTCCGCCTGGACACACCGTTCACCCACGTACACGCCTTGGGGACGTGGGAGGGACCAGAGGGAACCCGCGGGGAGAAGGCGCACACCCCACAGACAGTGGTCCCCCGGGAGTTGATTTTTTCCTCTCGTGAATTTGTAACGAAATGATGTTGAACAAAATGACAGATTCAAGCACCTGCCATATCACGGGTCCTTAATCTTTGTTTTCCAGATATGAGGAGACCCTTCCCCTCAGGGTGCCATGGGAAATGACGCCTTGGTGAGCAGAATGGGAAGGTTTGTCTTTTTCTCCCTACCCGGCCTCTGGGAGTCGGGGAGAGTTCAGAGGGGCGCAGTGGGCTTTCCGGCAGGAGCCGTGCCCGGAGGTCCACCCCAAGTCTGAGTGAGGGAGAGGTGGCAGGGGCACGGCTGCCTGTCAAGGCCACACCTGGAGGGCTTGGGGGAGATATCACGTGCCCCGCCATGATTCCAGAACCTCCAGGCAGAGGCACCGGTTCTGTGAACCCTGCTTTGCGAGACAGGCAGGGCCAACACCCCTGACTCATTTCCTGCAGTGACACTGGCACCAGAATCCGCGGGTATCAGTGGCATGAAGTGGGAGCACATGTTAAGTCCTTCGCCCTCCCCGCCCAGAAGAGTCCACCGATTTGGGGACCCAGCCTGGACAGAATGTCCTTCCATCACGGGACACTCGCACCGGCCACACTCCCTCCGCCTGGGACAATCTGGACACACCGTTCACCCACGTACACTCCAGATGGAGTTCTAGTCAGGGGAGGGGAGGGGACCAGGGAAGGGCCCCCTCCCGGCAGCCACAGCTCAGAGGGAAGGAGCAGCAGGGGTCCCAGGTCAGCTCGGGGCAGGTGAGGGAGACTCCAGAGGTGTGGTGGTGGGTTGGGTTGGTGGGGGCAGGGGGCCAGTCTTGAGCACAGTGTGCCTTGGCCATCACCCAGGGGCACCTGGCCCAGAGCTTGCAGGGGCCAGCTCTAGGCCACCTGCCCCCATCCAGGAAGAGGCACATACCCCAAGCCAGGGTTTACTTTTAATTTGTTTTCCAAAGCAGGAAGCAGCTTCTGGCTGGCACCTTCGGGCTGTGGGTGAGGGGGGCAGCCTCTTACAGGGGAGCAGGTTCCTGTGAACAAGGAAGTAGAAGCTGCAGTGATGCCCACCCCGCCCGGGCCTGCAGCCCCTCCTCAGGCTGCCCTCCTCCCAGACTACAAAACCTCCATGCTGGACAGGGGCTAGGAGACAATACTGAGCAGCTGAATTTCGGTGGCCTGCGGGCCCTGGCGACAGGCAGGCTAGGTAGGGGTGTGGAGAGCAAGGTGGCCAGACCCAAAGCCTCACAGGCCCGCGTGGGGGTCTGTGTGTTCCTTCGTGCTTCACAGCTGCTCTGCGAGCGACTGTCTTCCACCCCACCCACCGCGCCCCCTGACCTAGGCCCAGGCTGCCACCCGCGTCACAGCCCGACGGGACACCAGCCCTCCGGTGTCAACGCGCCAGATTCTCTCATTACGTTCTTTTTGGTATTAAGTATCATTTCCGCGGTTTTGTTTTGTCGCGTTGTGTTTTGTTTTTGTAATACAGAAATCTCCATGACAGGGAGAAAATGCTGGTTGGACTCTCCAAACTGGTTTCACGCCCACGGGACGGGTCTCCAGCCCGCAGTTTGGAAAAACCCTCCCCAGACCCCTGATCGCCCGCCCCGCCGCGCCCATTCCGCTGGCCAATCGCGCCGCAGCGGGCGGCGATTCGCCTGTCCCCGGCCCGGGCCCGGCCCCGCGATTGGCCTCTTCCCGCGCCCCCCGGCTCGTATTTAGGCTCCCGCAAGCGCTGCGCTCAGTGTCGCCGCCATGGAACTGGGACTCAAGGGCCGTCGGGCGCTCGTCACCGGGGCGGGCAAAGGTGGGCCGGCGGCCGGGGGCGCCTGGGGGGGACCGGGGAGGGGCGCCCGCGCTGAATGTGCTCCCTGCAGGCATCGGGCGCGACACGGTCAAGGCGCTGCACGCGGCGGGGGTGCAAGTGGTGTCCGTGAGTCGGACCCAGAGCGACCTGGACAGCCTGGTCCGCGAGGTAGGCACCGCTCCGTCCTTTGCCCCGCGGGCCGCGGGCGCGGACGGGGCCGGGGGTGAGCGGGGCGCACGCGCGCCAGGCGCTGGGCTGACCGAGGATGCTCAGCAACCAACCCCTCCAGGCTGCGCGGATCCCTGGGCTTGGACGGAAGCAGAAATGGCTGCCGTGCAGGCCTGGGGCCAGAGGCGGTCTGGCCACCGTGGGAAGGGGCTGCCGGGAGCGGTGCCAGGCTCCTGATCCCCAAGCTCTGAGTTGCCCAGTGGCCAGAGGCCGCATTAACTCCGCTCCCTGCTCCCTCAGCAGCCTGGGATTCTGAGTCTCAAAAAAGTGGCTGGCCCTTGTGGGACCCCTGACCCATCCCCCTGGTGGGCTGAAATGTCACCTGCACCCGGCCCCCCCACAACCCCCTCCTGGGCGGGAAGCCCCGCTGTGCCCCTGCCCCTGCCCCAGCATGGAGGCTCCAGCAGCTCCGCCCCCCAACCCACTCTGCCCACTAGTGCCCGGGCGTGGAGCCCGTGTGCGTGGACTTGGGTGACTGGGAGGCCACCGAGCGGGCGTTGGGCAACGTGGGCCCCGTGGACCTGCTGGTGAACAACGCCGCCGTGGCACTGCTGCAGCCCTTCCTGGAGGTCACCAAGGAGGCGATTGACACGTGAGCCAGCCCACGGGGTCGGGGGGAGGGCTTTCCCCTGCAGCAGCAGCCCCCGTCCCTGACCGAGGTCTGTCCCTCCGCATCCAGGTCCTTCGCCGTGAACCTGCGGGCTGTCATCCAGGTGTCCCAGGTGAGCTGCCTTCAGGGCAGGAGTGGGAGCCGGCGGGTGATGCTGACTTGGCCTCACATCCCCACTGCCATTCCAGATTGTGGTCCGTGGGATGATTGCTCGCGGAGCCCCAGGTGCCATCGTGAATGTGTCCAGCCAGACCTCCAAGGGCGCCGTAACCGACCACAGCGTCTACTGTGAGTGAGCCCAGCTGTGGCCACCCCACCGAGCCTGCAGCCAGCTCGGGCTCCACTCATGCTGACCCTCCTCGCAGGTTCCACCAAGGGCGCCATGGACATGCTGACCAAAGTGATGGCTCTGGAGCTCGGGCCACACAACGTGAGCCCTGCCGGGGTGCCCCCATCACCCAGCCCGCGTGCCAGGGCTCCCTAGCCCACTTTACTGACCCCTGCCTGTGTGGGCACAGATCCGCGTGAATGCAGTGAACCCCACAGTGGTGATGACCGACATGGGCCGGATCTACTGGAGCGACCCCCAGAAGGCCAAGACTATTCTGGCCCGTATCCCGCTGGGCAGGTTTGCTGGTGAGTCAGCCGGGAGCCCAGCTGCAGTTGCACTGGGAAGCCCCTGTGGGGGTGGGAGGAAGGGCGGAGGGCAGCCCGCACCACCCACGCCCTGACCCCTGTACCCCGCCCGCAGAGGTGAGCGAAGTGGTGGATACCATCCTCTTCCTGCTGAGAGCAGCAGACCACAGGCTCCAGGGTGCTTGTGGATGGGGGCTTCCTCACCAACTGAGCCCCAGCCCCACCACCCCACTCCATGCTAGTGCCGAGTCCCCCCGACCCCCATCCCTCCAATAAACCTGATTCTTTGTCCAGGCTGCACACTGATTCCCAGGCTGCTGGCAGGGGCCGGAAAGTGTCGAGCTCGGGGCCGGGTGTAGCAGTGGGTCCCAGGTGGGGAGGTACGCATTCAGTTCATATCCACGGCCAGGTGGCAGCCTGGCTCCCACACCTGAGATTTTTCAGACCTGCCACCTTTCTGGCAGGGGCTGGAAGGTGAGACCTTCCCGAGGCCAGCTCCTGAGGAGGGTGGCGAATGGGACGAAGGATGGCCTTGGGCCCTGGTTGGCTCTGGGGGCGGTGGCCGACAGGAAGGAACGCCGGCGAGCAGTTGCTGACTCTGCAGGAAGTGAAACACGGACGTGCTGAAACTACACCGACTTGTCCTGAGCGACGTCTTTGCGTGCCCAGACCAGCTTCGGATGCTGGGAGAACGCTCCCTCAGCTCTTTGGGTTCTTCATGGCGTGCCAAGCACAGGCGGGCACACCAGTCTAACCTCTGCTTCTCACCACGGAGTCTGGCAGCAAACAATAGATGGAGAATCTGCCAGCTGCCGGAGTGTGAATACTCCCAGCAACGTGGTGTCACTGAGGGCACAGCTGGGGAGGGACGTGCCTAGGCGGCCCCGCCAGACTCAACTGGTATAAATAACCACAAAAGCAAAAATAATGCTGATGTGCACAAAAATTAGAAAGTGATGAACTCTGTTAATTTGGTTTCTAATACAACTAATCGTAAGTTTATCTAATTATTAATAATGACAGTTTAACAAGTGGTTAGCAAGATTCCTGAAAACTTAGCAGCTGGTTCTGCTGAGTGGATTTCTGATCACGGGTCTGCCTGGAGTGGTGCCCGCGGCCTCGGGGATGCGGTTGCCGGACCATGGCTCGGGGGCCCCCCGGGCCATATCCGCTTCATCTCCCCGTTTCTGATGTTGGTCGGCATTGCCGGGCTGCCCCCTGCCGTCCCGACCTCCACAGCTGTCCGTGGCGGTCCCGCCCGGCTGCCCTTTGTCCCAACCTCTTTTCTTGAACTCAGTTCAGTGTCCCCCAGCCTGGGTGTGTGGGGGAGCTGTGGGGAGGGGCCTGACTGCCGACTGCCCCCCGCCACCTGGAAGCACTAGAGCGGGGTCCACCGTGTTCCTCCCAGAAGCCCGGGCTCTCTGCAAGGAGCTAAAGACATTTGCCCCCACTTCCGCCTGGGTCACCTCCTTCGGGGACTGAGAGGGCTCAGAACGCTCTCCTTCCCTTCTCTTGCCCAGGGTATGGGGTGCTCACCCCCTCTGGACCCATGGCTGGGGGTTGGTTAGGGGCAGGCAGGGTGAGCAGGCAGATGTTGGTGGGGAATGTTTATTGTATAAAATAAGAAGGGGCGCCCCATCCCAGGCGCATGACTAGAGCCCACCCCCACCCTGGCCCATCAGAGAAGCCCATCCTGGGGCTTCGCTGGCTACCCCCCCAACCCACAGCCTGAGGGAGACCCTGCTCCCTCCCAGCCTCCCATGGGGACCAGGGAAGGCTGGAGCTGAGCCCCCAGAAGGAGGAGGCAGAGCGGCCAGGACCCCATCGCCCCGCCCCATGCTTCCTCCCCTCCCCCCACACCACTCCCCACAGCAGACTCAGGGACACAGGTGGACACAACACGACCGTGGACATGGGCGGGGCTGCCGTCCCCGAAGCCGGGCCCTAGAGGACCGTGCACTTCCTCCCAGGCTTCTTGACGGGCGGCGGGCAGAGCACAGCCCTGATGGCCTCGTCAAACACTGTCTTCAGGCCCCGCTGGGTCAGGGCCGAGCACTCCAGGTACTTGACAGAGCCTGGGGGACAGTGAGGTGGGGAGAGTGGGGGCGGTGAGGGGCGGGGCGGCAGGGGCAGCTTGGCGCCCCAGAACACGCCTCCCTCCTGGCGCCTGCAGGCCAGGCACAGCCCACTCACCAATCTCCCGGGCCATGGCCAGGCCCTGGGGGTACGTGATGGGCGCCAGCTTCTTGTCCCGCAGCCGCTCAATGGTGTCCTTGTCGTCACGGAGGTCCAGCTTGGTGCCCACCAGGAGGATGGGCGTGTGGGGGCAGTGGTGCCGCACCTCCGGGTACCACTGTGGGGACAGAGGTTCTGACCCCACCCCTCAGGGACCTCTCCTTTAGCCTGGCCCAGAGCAGGCCGTGGCTCCCGGGTCCCTTCCCCCATGGCCCCTAGACCCATCCTTCCCACTTTAGGAGGTGACCACTAGGTTTGGTGAGGGACACCAACGCCCAGCCAGGGAGCTCCAAGGCCTGACGGGGCCCACAGGCAGGGCCCCTCCCTTCCTTGAGAGCCTCACTCACCACCCCTGCCCCTCACCAACGCCTCTCCCGCCACCTGCAGACCCCCGCCCGCCAAGCAGGACAGGCATCTCCTCTGCCTCCAAAGGACAAGCTGCCCATGTAAGGTCTTCAAGCCAGAGACCCCATCCAGTCAGGGCAAGTCCTGGGGGCATGTCCCACCCAAGGACGGACCCCGCCCACCCCACCCCGCCCCCGAGGCAGACCCCGCCCTACCTTGGCTCGAACATTCTCAAAGGAGGCGGGGCTCACCAGGGAGAAGCAAATGAGGAAGACGTCCTTGGGAGGAACGAGGAGGGGACCCACATGGGAGTGGTCAAGGAGGCTCCTGATGACCTCTGTCCCCTCACCCACATCAGGATCGCAGGGATCCCACCCGAGGCACCAGCCCCTGGGGCTGGCCCGCTGTCACCTACAGTTTGGGGATAGGAGAGGGGCCGCAGCCGGTCGTAGTCCTCCTGCCCCGCCGTGTCCCACAGCCCCAGGTTGACCGGTTTGCCGTCCACCATCACATTCGCCGAGTAGTTGTCGAAACTGCAGGGGCAGAGCGGGAAGAGTCAGCCTAGACTCGGGGTCTCGGGCCTGCACGGAAGGGGGGGCCCTGTCGGCACCTCCGCCCCCACCCAGAAGCGCAGACCAGGGCCGCCCGCGCCCCGCGCGCTCACACGGTGGGGATGTACTCTCCGGGGAAGGCGTTGGTCGTGTAGCTGATCAGCAGGCAGGTCTTTCCCACGGCGCTGTGGACAGAGCGCACGCCCGCGTCGCTCCCAGGCCGCCTCGGCCCCTCCGCCCAGCAAGGACAGCCCCTCCCACGGAGCCGCAGGCTGAGTGAGGACGCCTGGGCGGGGACAGGTGTCCCAGCGCGGCAGATCCGCAGCGACCTAAGGCTGCGGGAGGAGGGCCAGGGCGGCCGGGCAAACCAGGGCAGAGCGGCTGGGTGAGGCGAAACGCCTCAGGCCAGGCCCGCGGCAGAGTTCCCGCCACCCCCGGAGGGTGGCAGGGGAGGGTGGGACCCGTTGAGGGTGCAGTCCAGGTGAGAGGCCTGGCCTCGCCCACTGGGAGCCCAGGACACGGCCAGGCCAGGCTGGGGGGCCCGGCGGCAGCAGGTGGGCCGGGGCTGG